GCGTCTACTTTTATATTATGTCTATGGTAACAGCATTAGAGGGACTGACTTAAATAAGACGTCCAGCTCTGTTTTAGGAACACCTCTAGAACCTCTTCTTCAGTGTTGTAACACTGACCTCTACAGGAGATCCCTCTCGCCCACCAGCTGTTTGATAAAGCAGCCTGAGTTACAGCATTTAGTTAACTTTGTTTCTGTTTTTTTTTTTACCTGAGGCTGTGTTGTTTTTGTGTCCTAAGTTTGTTTTTCTCCAACAAATCACATGGCACATGTTATGGCAAAGTAAGGTGAAACAATTTGTTGTGTTTTCTGTTCAGCCCGGTGATAAGGGTTCGCCTGAGGGAGAAACAGACGCGGAACGGGAGAGAACCCATGTGTCATTTGCTCGACACCTCCACACACACCACCACACACACCTGGGCATGAGCTACAACCTGATGTCTGGACAGTTTGATATCTACCAAGGTACAGACCTGCCGTCTCTTCAAATCTGTCCCAATCTGATGGGATTTTCTTTTTTTTTTCATTTAGGAAATGCTCTGTTTATAGTTTGGTGTTGTCCCCGAAAATCAGAGACAGAAACCCGAACCTGCAGCACCTGAAAAAGTCAATTTATCGGAATAGATCCAAACATGAAGGAAACTAGAGAACTGGGAAGCACAATGTCCTCTGCTGGGGAAGATTCTCAGTCATCCAGGTCATAGTCATTCCATAGAAAGTTAAAAAAAAAATCAATCCACTGGACTTTGTTTCCAAGTTTGAAGACATTTCTCCTCCCATCCACGAAGCTTTTTAATTAAAAATGTCAGAAATAGTGTTGAGTTCCAGGTTTTATACATCAGCCCAACAAAACCTTTTTTTTTGTGTGTAGAAAACATGCAAATAGAAACGGTCAAACGGGTCCACCGCTTTGGAATGGGGGTCGCTTGGCTTCTTTTGTTAGGAAGGGAGCACAAACTCTCTGTTTTCAGAGAGCTGAGCATGTCCCTACAAAACAGAAGGGAAGCACAACAGAAACACGTCAAAGATGCGCTCCAAACCTGTGGATACCCAAACTGGGCGGGAGGGAATCCAAAAGACACGCAGCAGAAAATAACGGTGAGAAGATTAAACGCAAAAACATCTCCATCCTTGATGTTGCTGGAGTCTCTGAAAAACCCAAGAAGATTTTCTCCAAACACAAAATCCCAGAACATTTCAAACCAAACAGACCCTTAAGCCGGGCGTACACTGTGCGATTTTAAGGGCGATTTTCTAGTCGTGCGAGAATCTTTCGATCGGGACTACGAGCGGTGATCAGCCTCTCATGACCACCCACGTTCAGGAATCATTCCTGATTGTGGGCAAATCCCTCAGGGCGCATATGCAAACAAGGATTTTTCTTTTTATTCTTCCTCTCAGGTGCAAACAGCAGCATGACAGGGATGCAATGAGTGAAATGCAGCTCCGTCTGCAAAATTGACAGACCCTAGTAGCCACGTCTGCTCAGTCATGTCCATTTTTTTGTCAAATACGCCTTTTTTGTTTAGGGCTTTCAGCACAAAATTGCGCAAATTGCCAAGGCAGCACATTTCACAATAGAGAGCTCCATATTCCCCTTGTATTTGTTTGGCTTCTAGATAGAGTCCCA